AGTCGATAGCCATTGATAAATTGATAAAAAAAAGGAAACATTATAGCAGCTATGTCATATAAGACTTATGCTTATGATATTATGAAAAAATGCAGTACGTAACTAAAAATTCCAATGTTAATATCTTTTTTTAGCCTATCCCAAACAAAAATGGTTTTACGCATAAATTTAAAAAAAAAGACAAGTTTTTGAATTTTTTTTCACCAATAGACCATACAATTTGATTCTAAATATTTTTTGTATCGAGACCCGCCATTGTTCTTTATCTCAACGTTAATCTCAGAGAATTAATAATGTCAAGAGTATTATAAATGTTATAAAGTCAGATATATGAATCAAAACAAAATGGCATATACATCATTTTTAACTTTCTGTGCTTGCGCATTATAACTGGCTGAATGAAGTCCTCTCCCATCAACGCGCTGCAAGTGGAATGTTCTGAACCTCCCTTAGCAATAAGAAGGCAATTCTTGTCTGCACGTTTTTTATTAAAAATTATGTGTAAGCCCTGTCACCCCCTCTACAAAATAATTTCTGACTTGGATACTGTCTGTACAACTAGATATTGGGCACATAGGGAAACTCCACTGATACTTCAATCCTTTCGTGATTACCAAACTTTTATTAGTAGTGCTGTAAAATTTGAAACTCCCTCTGTTCTGCTTCGAAAACGACATTCTATGCTTTAAACCAGACGTAATTTTAGACTCTGGAATCCCCAAAGGTTCTGCGAATGCTAATTCGATGTTCAAAGCATTCGTTGAATAACAGTGGAAGGGTTATAAAAAAATCTTTACTGATGCATCCAAATTATGTAGTGAAAGCTCTGTGGGAGCTGCAGTATACTATCAGGATTCTAGAATTGTCTTAAAATTTAGATGTCCCAAAGAGTCCTCGGTATTTACGGGCGAGTGTGTTGCCATTCTGGAAGCATGTCTCTTCATTGTATCCCACAACATCAACAGGGCCGTAATATTTACTGACTCCCTTAGCTGCCTCAAAGCATTTTTACAAAATCCATTTCAGAATAGGTTACATAGCTCATAAATCCTAGAATTTAAAAAGCCTTATATAGCACTAGGAAGTCAAGTATAATTCAATTGGTATGGGTTCTAAGCCATAGTGGCATTCTAGGCAATTAATGTGCAGACTTATTGGCCAAAATGCTACTTTTTCTGAAACGACTGACCTCAAACATTATGTTTACCATAACCTTATGACCTCCTGAGGCTTCCCCAGGAAAAGTTACTAGCAGCCTGGCAGTTAGAGTGGACTAGCTCTTCTAAAGGGAAAGGCAACTATTATTATGCCACACAGCCATTAGTAATACCAAACCTTGGTTCTATAAATACAAAAAAGTATCCAAACCTGTAATCTCTACTATCTGTAGACTTCGTACAGGTCACGGTTGCTCCCCCGTTTTCCTACACAAAATGTGGGTTAGGGATTCATCGCTATGCGAATGTGGATTAGATAAAGGCAATTTAGATCACATTTTCTTTAGCTGCAGGAAAAATAACCCATCCTTAGACCTCTACGGGTACTTAAGAAACTTGAAGATTCCCACGTCTATTAATTTCTCTTCTCTCTTAACCTATTCATCTCCAGAACTCTTCTGAACGCTTATGGTCTTTATAGGTTGTAATACCATCAAACTTTAACCTGTTCTCCTTTAAATTATATTATTAACAACAAACAGATCACATTTAGTGCAGTGATGTCCTTCAGAGGTTATGTTTTAAAAAAAAAAGAATAAAAACAATTAAAAAAAACACATGTCACATAGTCATGTTCAAAATAAAGTAGATAAGAAAGAACGAAATTAATTTGATTTAGAATTTGTGTTGCAAAAAATCAGTTACATTATAATAGCATTTTTGGCTCAGAATGTTTTTTAATGTCCGTTTAAAGTTGGTCATATTTGACTTCTTTTTATTGCTAGGTAATTTATTATACATTTTAGGAGCTATGGCGAAAACACGATAAATGGATTGCAGTGTCAAAATATTATATTTTTTTAAATGAGGCAGACAGCTGTCGGTTGATTTTAGAGAGAACATTGCCCTCAGACAGCGTTTCTGTGCCTTGAAAATTATATCTTTATGTACCTACAGAGTTACCCCAAAAAAATATACCAAACCTAAGAACCGACGCCACCATACCAGGATATGCAGTCAGAAGTGCATCAGTATTAATTATTTGTGACAATTCATGAAGTGCATACTCTTATTTACTGACCCTCTTGCATAATTGTTCTACATGTGGGTTCCATGCTAACTTATTGTCTATTATTACATCTCAAAATTTTGTGGAATCTACTTCATTTAAAGATTGCCCATTAGCGCCTATCAGTAAGTTTTTCATACTAGCAATACGCTGACTAAAATTGCATTGTCTTTCCTATGTTAGCTCTTAAATTATTTAAATCTCAATGCGTTTTTTTATATCATTACTATTTGTATCCTTATTATTACATTTAACAGTAATTGTACTATCATCTGTAAATAGCGCTGGTTTCTGGGTTACATTAGGTAGGTACAGAAACGTCTTTTCTTTGTAGTATAAAGTTTTTCTTTGCAATTTTTGTACTACAATGAAAAGTAAAATGTGGATGTTTTAAATGAATTTAATTATTTTTGTTCAATTTTCAATCATTATTATAGAGATCAACCTGCCAGGCATCCACTAGCAAAAAAATATTAATGGTTTTTTTATTTTCCTGGAGACAGCGAATTTTACAATTTATAAAATAATAATAAATAATAATAATAATAAAGAAATGGAAACTATTTTTTTTCTCCGGTTTGTCATTTATGTAGATGCGTATTTTTCCATTATGGCGGCAGTATAGTTTTCTATATTGTCTCTATTTCCTTTCTTAAATTCAGATTTTATGATCACTGCTTTCAGTTTGTCTGGGAAAATTCCAGCTGCTATACATAAATTCATAATATGACAAATATTACCTGGAACAGATTTTATGGCTCTAGTACATATTCCGTCATACCCTATACTGTTAGTGTTCTTTAGGTTTCTTATAATATGCAATATATTAAAGGGTGAGCAAGCTTTCAAGAACATAGATTTTTGCATAGAGGACACACATATGTTGAATAAAGCAATTTATTTTTAGGATTATTTGGGTCTATTCTCTCTACAAAATAATTATTAAAAGCATTTTATACTGCATTAGGATCTGTTAGGGTTTCATTATTAATTTTTATTTTGTTTTGTGGAATGTATAATTTTCCAAGCAGTTTTTGCTTTGTTATCTGCTGTATTAAAAGAGTAAGTGTTTTGTGCTCTCTGAGTTTTTTTTATATCTCCTAGACCTAGACTCTAGGACCTAGAGTATTGTTTAAATTAAATTTTGTTAGCATCACTGGGATTTTGCCTATATTTCTATAAAAGTGTCCTTTTTTTACTGCATGTCATTCCACGCGAGACCCTTTTTTGTTTTTATGTGCATTGATAGTTATAAGTCTGGATGGAACAGAGATCATAAAATAGTTATAGAAGGTATTGTAAGCTAAATTAGAGTCTACGGCAGTGTACACTTCAGAAAAAGTAAATTTGCTTATACACACTTTAAACTTCTTCTGGTTTTCTAAACAACAGACTCTTCTTCAAACTCTCCACCGTTTAAACAGGCACATATTTTTAACACGACATTGCAGGATCTGCGCTGTGTGATCTGACAATTCGTTGGTGAGGACAAATTACAACTAATGCACTCTTATGACCAACATTTGAAGGTAAGAGATTTTTGCAGATTAGCGAAAAGAACGAACATAGACTTAAGCAAAAATAATGATTGATTTGGTGCTATGACATTCTAGCTGTTCTTCAGAACCTATGCGGAAACGATTACTTATTTTTATGTAAAAGGAGATTGAACGTATACAATGATACCATGTATGACGCCGTTTCAAAAGTTGCCTATTGCTACTTATGGAATGAGCCTTTGGCGGAAAGAGTTGCAATTATCTGGGTACAGATAAATGGGCTCAAGAAAAAGGATTTTATCTCTCTATGCGACTCCAATCCTATATTTTAAATTTTGAAATATAATCTTAAAGACTCAAAATAGCTTGTTTTTATTTGTTACTATCGGCTCGTTTAGAAATCTTCTACTTGAACCTTTTATGCGTCATGAAATTTTTGCTTCATTCGGCCAGTAGTACGATAAGGTAAAATAAAAAAGTGTGTATGTGCAATTCACAAAACCCCTATAAAAAAATTCCCGGTGTGACTAAAGCAGCGTTTTTCAAATTAGACGTGAACGACGTCGCGGGTAACAGCTAGTATTTACTTAATCCTATACATTTACGTGTTTGTTTATTTATCGTGACGAATTTTCGTTTCATCGAGTTTCAAATCACAACGATTCTTAAGAAGTTTCAATTAAAAAAAAATAACCAAAACTTTTATATTTTAAAATTGTTATACAAATCTCCAAGGTAAATACCTAATATTATAATATTTCACCCTATGCTACTATTTTTTTTTTATCAAATCTAAACTTTTTTTTTTACTTCTAATGTCAAGCTCAAATACTTAAAATCTGATAATTTAGGTTTCCTTTAAAAAGTAATTGATCCAATATCACAATCAGATGAAGTGACAAAGTAGTATTTAGTGTTAGTGTTAGTAACCCTTAATTAGGGGCGTTAATTTTACAAGACATCCTAGTGTTTTTTGAGTTTAAAAAAACAAAATTATTCTAATGCTTCCCATTGGTATTTTTTAATTCTTATTAATATCAATCGGGTTTTTCGTTTTGAAAATGTTTGAATGTGTTTCGATAAAATATTTGGTTTTTAGGTTGGTAACATTTAAAAATGGAATTTTTATTTGCAACACTAATAGGTGGTACGTCTTAACGTCAGGTTGGCATTTATAGTGTAATATTTATATACGGGACTCTGTGTTTATTGTATTGCAGGAATATTGAGGAATATTGGACAACCATTTAATGTGACAGTAAAACATCAATTAAAATGGGGGACAAAAATACTCCGCTCTTAGCTGTACTACAGTTACTCAGAAAGTATAATTTAAAGGTAATTACTAAATGTGCAGTTTATCTTTTTTATCGTGTGTGTGTGTTATTATTTTTTCACGACTATGTACCTAAATGTTTTAAACTTTTAGGGCACAGAAGACATATTAAGAAAAGAAGCAAGCTTGGGAGATGTAGAGTACGAAAATTTAGATTTACCTGAAGTGGAATTGGCCAGTATTCTCACAGCACATCATACTGAAAGTGATCCTTATAGTTATGAATTTGCTTATGATACCTTGAAGAAGTTTGTTGAAAACTCTCTAGATATTAACAAGGTAAGTAATTTACAATCAACTATTGTTTATAGCTGTCCACCATAAAATTGTATGACCATTGTAAAGAAATTGATATAACTAGTTTAGTTGATGTCTTTTATTTGTAGCATGAGCTGTCAACACTTTTATATCCTGTATTTGTTCATATGTATCTTCTCTTAATAATCTACGACCACAATGAACATGCTGTAAACTTTTTGGAGAAATTTGGCACAGAACAAGAAGATTATTGCCAGGAGGATTTAAAACGATTGTCTATTGTGAAGCATAAAGATCAAATAAAGGGCAATGAGCTTGCTGAAATATACAGGTAACAATGTTAATTGCAATATCAACTTGCACTGGCTTTTAATGAATTTTTACATTTCTTTTAATGAAGTTTGGCGTTAAGTCTTCTATAGTTGTACATGAAGTACACAAAACGCAATATAATTCAATTTGTTGTAATAGTACATCGCAGACTACCCTTTTTTTTGACAATATCCATATAAAGGTTGTCTGTAAGAGATTGCCGTGAGCGATAAGACTGCTTATTGTTTTACCGAAATGTATTTCATATCTGTATTAATAATACTTCAACGGTGTACAATAAAGAGATACATAAATAAAAAATAAATAAATATAAATAGTAATAAAAAATATAAATAAGTAGTAATAATGACTGTAAGCTAAAAATTATTCAACAAATAACTTACACCTATTTATATTGTTTTTAGCACAAACAAGTTTGTTGTCCAACTATCAAGAGATGCATCTTCTCAATTAAAACGTTTTCTGCATGAACAAAAAAGTTCAACTGTCATAATTAACATTATAAATAATCACATACAAGTTGAAGTTCATGATGGTCCTGGTAGAACTCAAGCCCAAGTACGGGCTACCACTGGTGGAATTCTTGGTGAAGCTACTAGAAATGGTATGTATCATATCTATTTGGACTAATGTACTTATCAAAACTTTAACACATTAATTAAATAGCTTCAAGCACAATGAGTACTATCATTTACATTGTTAAATGACAATGATTTCAATTATTTGCATAAAAGTTGGTGTGTTTAAATCTAACACATGCAAATAGTCCATTTTATTGCCATGCAAATGAAGGTTATAATAATTAATGATAAATATAATTATGGACGTCCGTTCGACACTGCGGTACAGCCGGGACTGTCTACGCCCCGAGCGCACCCCGAGATCGAGGCGCGTAGGTATAGCTCGCGTTTCGTCCGTTTGTATGAAGTTGGAGTACTGTAGTATAATAGTACCGTGGTGTTGGTGTTAGTAACCTGAGAGCTTGCCTTTAATTAGGGGCGTTTTTTACAAGACATCTTAGTGTTTTTTGAGTTAAAAAAACAAAATTATTCTAATGCTTCCCATTGGTTTTTTTTAATTCTTATTACTGCATTATAGCCTTATCTTAATATCAATCGGGTTTTTCGTTTTGAAAATGTTTGAATGTGTGTTTCGATAAAATATTTGGTTTTTAGGTTGGTAACATTTAAAAATGGAATTTTTATTTGCAACACTAATAGGTGGTACGTCTTAACGTCAGGTTGGCATTTATAGTGTAATATTTATATACGGGACTCTGTGTTTATTGTATTGCAGGAATATTGAGGAATATTGGACAACCATTTAATGTGACAGTAAAACATCAATTAAAATGGGGGACAAAAATACTCCGCTCTTAGCTGTACTACAGTTACTCAGAAAGTATAATTTAAAGGTAATTACTAAATGTGCAGTTTATCTTTTTTATCGTGTGTGTGTGTTATTATTTTTTCACGACTATGTACCTAAATGTTTTAAACTTTTAGGGCACAGAAGACATATTAAGAAAAGAAGCAAGCTTGGGAGATGTAGAGTACGAAAATTTAGATTTACCTGAAGTGGAATTGGCCAGTATTCTCACAGCACATCATACTGAAAGTGATCCTTATAGTTATGAATTTGCTTATGATACCTTGAAGAAGTTTGTTGAAAACTCTCTAGATATTAACAAGGTAAGTAATTTACAATCAACTATTGTTTATAGCTGTCCACCATAAAATTGTATGACCATTGTAAAGAAATTGATATAACTAGTTTAGTTGATGTCTTTTATTTGTAGCATGAGCTGTCAACACTTTTATATCCTGTATTTGTTCATATGTATCTTCTCTTAATAATCTACGACCACAATGAACATGCTGTAAACTTTTTGGAGAAATTTGGCACAGAACAAGAAGATTATTGCCAGGAGGATTTAAAACGATTGTCTATTGTGAAGCATAAAGATCAAATAAAGGGCAATGAGCTTGCTGAAATATACAGGTAACAATGTTAATTGCAATATCAACTTGCACTGGCTTTTAATGAATTTTTACATTTCTTTTAATGAAGTTTGGCGTTAAGTCTTCTATAGTTGTACATGAAGTACACAAAACGCAATATAATTCAATTTGTTGTAATAGTACATCGCAGACTACCCTTTTTTTTGACAATATCCATATAAAGGTTGTCTGTAAGAGATTGCCGTGAGCGATAAGACTGCTTATTGTTTTACCGAAATGTATTTCATATCTGTATTAATAATACTTCAACGGTGTACAATAAAGAGATACATAAATAAAAAATAAATAAATATAAATAGTAATAAAAAATATAAATAAGTAGTAATAATGACTGTAAGCTAAAAATTATTCAACAAATAACTTACACCTATTTATATTGTTTTTAGCACAAACAAGTTTGTTGTCCAACTATCAAGAGATGCATCTTCTCAATTAAAACGTTTTCTGCATGAACAAAAAAGTTCAACTGTCATAATTAACATTATAAATAATCACATACAAGTTGAAGTTCATGATGGTCCTGGTAGAACTCAAGCCCAAGTACGGGCTACCACTGGTGGAATTCTTGGTGAAGCTACTAGAAATGGTATGTATCATATCTATTTGGACTAATGTACTTATCAAAACTTTAACACATTAATTAAATAGCTTCAAGCACAATGAGTACTATCATTTACATTGTTAAATGACAATGATTTCAATTATTTGCATAAAAGTTGGTGTGTTTAAATCTAACACATGCAAATAGTCCATTTTATTGCCATGCAAATGAAGGTTATAATAATTAATGATAAATATAATTATGGAGGATTAATTACGTTAATTACAAGGGAGCGAAATACGCAGGACAACAGCACTGCAGAGAGAAGGAAAACTTGACACAAACCCTTTTTTTTTTTTACGTGTGGAAATCCCCTCGGACCGTCACCCCACCGGGGTTTGCGGCGGAGTGGTGTGTCGGACTCGGACCGACTAAAAGTCGCCCGGCAGTCAGCCACTCGCCGATAAACTTCGGCGAGCACTTCCGCCTCCAAATCCCACGGGGGAGTTCCGTCCAACGCGCAAGCCACCTCCGTCGAAACGGTGCGGTAACCGCGTATGGCTCTGACCGCCATTACCTTCTGAGGGCGCCAGAGGCGTGCCCTATTCTGGGCGGTCAGAGCCGCCGCCCACACCGGTGCACCGTATAGTGCCATTGACCGGACAACCCCCGAGTACAGCCGTCTTGTCGCGACGCTGGGTCCACCCAAATTGGGCAAAAGTCGCCCTAGGGCAGATGCAGCGCCGACCAGCTTTGGACAAACCCTATACCCTATACCAACCCGTCTGGCCAGCATGGTATAGTAGGCCAAAACCTCCTTTCTAAGGAGAGGCCTATGTCTAGCAGTGGACTGTTAAAGGCTGTTGATGATGATGATAATTACAGAATCAATTCAATAATGTCCTCTAAGTCCATATTACTTGTTATTTAGACTTTAATATTAAAGAATTATAAATATTTCAAATGATAAGAAGAACAAATTCAGTTTTTAGTTTAACTAATTTTTTAATATTTATTTTTAATGTTTGTGCTTAAAAAAAAGAAAAAATTATGAATTGAAGTGTTTTTTTTACTGACATCTTGAGAAACTTTTTTTCATCCTACTATCATACTAAAAACTAATTGATAATAAGACTCATTTATTTTTGGATTCACAGAGAATCGCACAAAAGTTTATTATGGTCTTCTAAAAGAACCCGACATACAAGTTTTACCAGCACCTGTTGAAGATGAAGAGGAAGTTGAAGAGACACCAGATAAACCAAAAAAGAAGAAAGCAAAGAAAGATAACATTTTTATGAAAAAACCAAAATCTGATCCCAATGCACCTCCAAATGATAGAATTCCACTACCAGAACTGTAAGTTCAGTTTTTGAAAAGGTTCTGTGCTATGTAGAAGTGAAAAAGAAGCTTTAAAACTTTTCTAAATTAAAATTTTCTTATAGGAAGGAAACTGATAAAATTGAGAAAGGAAAAGCATTAAGAGAAGCCTCTAAGCGCATACAGTTAGGACCAGAGAGTCTACCATCCATATGCTTTTATACACTTCTTAACAGTGGTCACACAGCAGTTTGTACCGACATATGTGATGATTCTACCTTGCTAGCTGTTGGCTTCAGTAACTCGCACATTAAGGTATTTATAAATTTTATTGAGGTTTTACTGAAGTACTTTTTCCATTTAGGTCAGAACACTACATTTTTTATTCTTAATTAAAATTCCAAGGTAGAGACAGAAAAGAAACCTGTCATTGCAACTTGTGTCCCAATTTTTTAAATACCTTAAATAGCCTAAGTTACGCTTTTTAGTATATCAAATGAGATGCCAAATTAAGATGGGTTTTTAACTAATGCTTATTTATAATTTAAATTATTATAAGTAAAGGTGAAAAGTATAATGTTTTATTGTTTTGTTGTGACTTGCTAATCTCTGCAATCTACCAGTGGGTAAATAATTGCATTTAGATTACAGTATAAATTACTGTAGGTAGGTTAGTGTTAGCTATGTGACATCGTGCTATGGCTCTTACGAGCAGAGCATTGACTATACACACGGAATTTAAAATTTCTAGTCTTATAAAATTATGTATTAAAGAGAATGTTTGTGCCGTTCTTAGAATTATCATCAAAAAAGATAACAAGAAAAAGAGAACCTTCACTGTCTATTTATTATACATTAGCTGTGCCCTGACACGTTTTGCTGTGTCGCGTAGTGGTTGCAAAAAGTAGATAAAAACTATCTTTAAAGCATTTTGTACATACTGTCAAAATTTAAAACTTTTAGAGTTAAGCATACACAAACCAACTTAACATTTTATTTAGATTTATTTAAACCCTGAGCAAAAAAATTAGAGATTGTAAAGCTTGCTTATAATGTAATGGTAAACAATAGGTAAATTAATATCAATTGTAAAAAGAGATCCAATAAGCAAGACAAAGTCATTTATTTATTCAAATACAATTTATCATTAATTCAATTTTTTTTTGTTTCTGGTCAATATGCAGGTGTGGACTTTAACACCTGTAAAATTAAGGGGAATGAAATCAGCTGAAAAATTACAAGATATTGACAGAGAAGCAGGTATGTGTGCTATTTACAATATAACATCTGACAGTTCGAATTCAGCTAAATCTTTCTGTTTACTGAACTAGAAAGGGATTGCTTCCTGAGAAAACAGAAGTTGTGAACTTAAGGACACATGTTACAATATATTGGGTCCTATAAAATAAATAATTATTCTTTAGTGTCTGTGGTATGGCAAGTGGATGCCCTTGTCATAGTGGCGTCTACAATCACACACGGACACTGGCACGCGTCCCCAACTTCTTCTACAATTGCTCTCTCATGCTATTAGTTTTTCTCCCCTATTTCCATTCTGCCTTTGTTCTATCTGCTAGTGATGCATCCTAAGGAAATTTTGCAACACGTGGGCTGACCATGTAAACTAGCCATAACTCATTGCAATATTATACACAGCCTATAGCAGTCCACTGCTGGACATAGGCCTCTTCTTAGAAAGGAGGTTTTGGCGTAATATACCACGCTGGCCAGACGGGTTTGTAGGTATAGGGTTTACGAGTAATTCAAGATTTCCTTTTCTTTGCAGTGCTGTTGTCCTGCATAGTCCATATCACTCAATCGCAAATTAAATCGGGAGCATTGCAAGAAAATCATGATGAAATTGTGCATTGTTCACATGGCTAGCCTAGTAGTAAGGGATTAGTATAGCCCTTAAATATTTGTGGTTATAAATCTGCAGTGCAATAGGCAGTGATTGTTGTGGGTTCGTTAAAATTAGTGATGGAAATTATTGCTACCTTTAATCATAATCTTGATTGTTCTTAGTCCCTGTGATTACACCTGTGAAAAATCACTACTGGGATTTGGTCATACACAAAAATAAATGCCTTTAAAAACTTAAGCAAAGGAAAACCAAACTTTCGCGAGTCTGGCGCTAGCGTAATCATAAGTCGCAGTGGTTTTATAAATTAGTCACAGGTGTAATTTATAAAACATATTATTTATAATAACAGGTGATTGTTATTTTATTCCATCCCTAGTTAAAATCCAACCAAGACGCCGTGAACTTGTTTTGTTTCTTGTTTAACGGCTTGTTTAGCATAGACGTACTTAATATTCTGTTTTTATACTTAGTTAACAATAAAATATTGATTTTAGGGGATGTACTCGTTAGAATGATGGAGGAGAAAGATAGAGATACATGCCGCACTCTCTATGGTCATTCAGGGTCTGTCTACAAAGTTGCTTTCGATCCATTCAAAACTCTATTACTTTCGTGCTCTGAAGACTCGACTGGTATGTATAGTTTATTAATATCTACCGGCAATGCACACTTAGCATCTGAATCATCATATTACAGGCATAACCAATTGAGAATGCATTACATAAATTAAACAAAAACGAAACTGAAATGAAAACAAGTTATTTTCATATTTTTTTTGCTGTTTTAAAACATAATAATAATGATTTATTTATATTTAACATTGTACATTGTTACAAAAAATATGGAGTCTCCATTTAAGTAAAAGAATATCTGTACCAGGAGACTCCATCTTATACGGTGTCATAGTTGTGTGTTTCGAAATAAACAATCTAACAAGATACAACAATAAGTAATAAATCCTCCTTATATGCTTACAAATATTGCATTTGACTACATGAAATTTATCAATTACGACTTCCAAAAATGAATATTTGTAAATGAATGGGGAACATACATTGGTTGGAATTTGGGTTCAAAGTATACCTTTTATCAGTACTTATCAATTATCTATAACACAATACTAGTCTAGTCACATAAAACGCTTTGGAAATGATTCGACCTCTGTATAGTCTAAGACTGTAAGCAATTTCATTAAGGTGTTTTTAATATTTCTGAATGAGAGTGTAAATATTTAATAATTTGTTAGCATTATTATAGAGGGGGCCAGCCAGATAATTAAATCGTCTCTGTGCAAGGGTCGACTTGCATCTATATATGTCAGCAGCAGCATAACTTCGACGAATTCCACAATTTCTGGGGTTGAAGGGTATTATTTTGTGCTTTCTGAGAATAGTATTCATTCAGTTTTTTCTAATACTTAGTAGTTCGGACATAGAGTAAAGCTGTAAAGTTGGATATCGAAATGGTAGGAAATACATCACCTTTATTAGATATCGTTGGGCTCTTTCTCATTCAAAATTTCTTGTTTTTGCAGCGCCACCCCATATCGGAATATAGTATATAATGACAGATTGAACTAAGGCTAGGTAAATTTATTTTAAAAGTAATTTTAATGAGACGTATCTTAATATTTTAAAAATTCGCATTAATTTGCTAAGCCTATTTGTAATAAGTTCCAAATGGTAAAACTATGATAATCTACTACCCAACATTACGCTCAAGTACTTAACGGATGAAAATTTTGTTAATATGGGACGGTCACAATCATATTTATAATCTGGTTCGTTACATCTATGAATTTTAATGTTAAGTTTATATTAGGTTGGGATCTTTGGTAAAGCACACATAGTTAGATTTTGTCGAATTTAAGGATAGCGTATTCTTTTTTAACCACCAGTCAATACTAGTGAGGCCCATCACAGACGGAAACGGTGTCCTCCCACGACTTATCAGAGAGCACAATACCAGTGTCGTCCGCATATGATTTTTTTTTTGCACTATTTATTCTAAGATTGCACAAATCATTTATACACTGTATTTTTTTTCTTTTTGACAAACCTTTAACCTGCAAATTCTGCACTTTATTTCTAGACGATTTGCAAAATATGAACAAAAAATATTGAGTGGTTTAGAAACAGGTATTTTCTTTTTATTTTCCCCATTTGCAACATCATGTGTAAATGCAGTCATAATAAATTAACCTCAGGCGTCGATCAGCTGTATACGCCGAGCGTTAACATCAGACGTTGCCGCTTCTACTACACTCGAATCGAACGAAATATGTTGATTGTTGCGTCATCAGGATGAAGAACACGCGTTTTTAATTAGTTTAAAAAAAAACTAGTGTAACAACAGACAGTCTCATGTTTGAAATACCATTAGAATTTTGTCATTTTAAAAATCTACTTCCCTGTAAGTCAAATTCTGAATTCTAATTTAACCATTATTCTTCTTAGCAAATTAATACAAATAATTTAAAAACCGCTTTAAATAATTTCGAAACTTCAAACTGATGATAAATATTTATTCCAGTGAGACTATGGTCACTTCAATGCTGGACATGTTTGGTCGTTTACCGCGGCCACGTATGGCCAGTGTGGGACGTCCGTTGGTCGCCGCATGGACATTACTTCGTGTCCGCTGGACATGACCGCACTGCTCGTCTCTGGGCGACCGATCATCATCAACCTCTCAGAATATTTTCCGGCCACTTATCGGATGTTGACGTAATTATGTTTATATATTTCACGTTTAAGAACAAATTCTCGTATCGAATACATTGTTTTCTTTATTTGTCAGTTTAAATGCGCCTTAAAAAAAAAGACAAATCGGTTCGATTTCATTATGAGATTCGTAATTAGTAAAACAAAAGAAAAAACTTAGGATACCCGGGTAGATAGAGTGAGAAGAAGGGAGAGAAGAGGACGATGCTAAACTACTATACAAACTATCAAAAGGAAATCTCAAATCGCAGACCGACATTCATTCGGGGTCGCCGAAAACTGACGACCGACTCCTGTTTTTCTAGTGCTATACTAAATGAAAGACTTGAACGATTCCTTTAATTGCGTAAAAAGAATATACTTCAGAAGTCTACTGACCGATAAATATATAATTTACTTTCATATTTTAGTGCGTGCAGTTCCATCCAAATTCAAATTATGTAGCTACTGGGTCCAGCGACAGAACAGTTCGATTATGGGACTGTTTGACGGGTACACAAGTTCGAATCATGACAGGACACAAGGTATGTTGCATTATGATGATCTTATATGTAGCTGACGTTTTTCACATAACATTAGTTGAAAATTTAAGAGCATTGTTCTTTTTTCAGTCGACAATATTTACTTTAGCGTTTTCCGTGTGTGGGAGATGGCTGGCATCAGGTGGCAGTGCTGGGGAGCTTTTAGTGTTTGACATTTCGACCGGTTCTCCGTCTGCTTTGCTGCCGCCACTGCATACCGCGCCCATACACGCATTAGCTTTCAGTCGTGATGGTACCGTTTTGTCATCAGGTAAAGATTTTTACTTAATTTCTTTATTATTATTATCTTAGGGACTATGCACTTAAATAATCAATTAACAATTGTATCTATCACATACAACTTTACATCACAGGTTCCTTGGACTGCACTATAAAACTATGGGATTTCGCTGCTATAACAGAAGAAGCTAATGGTGAAGAAGCAGGAGCTAATAATTCAATACAGAAGGAGGAAAAGTTCTTGTTGAGATCATTTGCAACAAAAAATTCACCCATAAAGGGCTTGCATTTTACTCGTCGTAATCTATTACTTGCTGTAGGTTCGTATGAAGGTAGTGCTTAATGTTTATGTATTTTATCATAATTGAACAATAAAGTCTGTAGTAAGTAACTTGTCATTTTTTTAACAATTCCTGTTACGTAAGTTGTTATGTTATGTTGTTGTGTTTTTGCAAATGTCGTTCTATCATCTCTGCCTATCCCAGTCTTTAATAAGGCGTTAACAAATGTACCGAGGGCATTCAATTTATTATCAGTATCAGGGAGATTTGGAAATGGTTGATGGGGAGAAGGGGGGGGGGGGGTTGTAGCTTAATTATCTCAAATGTTGATAATATCATCTGTACGTATAAATATTTTGGATTTGCATTAGTATTCGAATTACCCTCAGCAATGATTTTAATGGCCTGTTATTGTAGTGATTAGTGACCATCATTGTTCTATGTTTGGCCCAGACATAGAACATACACCCAGACAGTCTGGGTGTATTTTACCTATAATGTATGTATTTAAAAATATGTAAATATGTTTATCAGCAGTCTGGTTGCTATAGTATAGGATCTGCCTAGTGTGGCATCAGATGTAAGCGAAACGATCATCATCTTCCTGCCCACTTCCCAATTTTATTAGGAGTTGACGTTGGCAGGATGTGTAACATTATTGGCTGTTCTTTTTAGTGGCCGTTTCACCTTTTTAACGCCAACCTGCTTTAGAATTTAATCGTTTACAGATGGAAGAAAACAAGATAAATTCTGGTAAGGAATATGGATAGGCATTGGTGAATAGGATACTGATATACGATCGCTTACCCGATGGACGGACGACCTGGTAAAGGTTGCCGGAAATCGTTGGATGCAGGTCGCAATCAACCGCCCCGCTGGAAATCATTGGGAGAGGCCATTGTCCAGCAGTGGACAAGCATAGGCTGAGGTGATGATGATGATACTGATATATTTCGAAGGCGCCGGAAACGTATTTACATCATATGTACATATTATGTATGTTTGTCCTGTGACTGGAGAGGCTAAAACTGGCTCTGTATCTGCCACTATTCAAATGTGGTTAAGTAAAAAAGGTAAAGCAAGCTACGCCCATTACCCCCAGCAGATCAAAAATCTGATGTGTGCATATCACTGCACTTGTGTTCACTTTATTGTTTTTAAATTAGCTTGAAGGCTCCTCCTAATTTTAACAGTTTGAAAATAATCTAGATATCTTCCCTAACTTATTGTTATGCATCATCACACACATCAACAGCCTTTAATAATCCACTGCTGGACATAGGCCTCTCCTTAGAAAGGAGGTTTTGGCCTACTATACCACGCTGGTCAGATGGGTTGGTATAGACCTACCCGTCTGGCCAGGGTGGTATAGTAGGCCAAAACCTCCTTTACACAAGCCAACAACAACAAGCTCTATGGCTTGTGTCAAGTTTTCCTTCTCTCTGCAGTGCTGTTGTTCTACGTAGTTTTCTCCCCTAGTCGGCTCTTACTAGACCCACGGGCAGAATAGGATTGGTGACACTGTATTCTTAATCTGTCACCGCACGGACTTATTGTTATTAATAATCGAATATTACTCAAATTTTGCTGCATGAGGTAGGTATTAAGAAAATTAAAGATCCTTGTGAAATAAATCAAGTCCATGCTGGGTATAAGCTTAGAAATTTTAATAATGTTATTCTTAAGTTATCTTACTTTTTACATCAAGGAATCATTTATAAATTACCTTTCTCTTCGAGAAATCAGCACAATATTTATATAATTATACTCAACTCTTTGCAGATCCAATTTTTAAAAAATAAGCCCTCTCAGCAGTGATAAATTGTATTAACAAATTGAGCACTGATTCATTACTTCTGGCAATTTGTGCTTTCATTGCTTGTTTAAAATCTTCCTTTACACCTTTGTCAGCACCGCGGGTACCAATTCGTCTTTGTCCCAAGTGTTGTGAATTAGGCAATATATCAAGTGCAACATTGTTTCCTTGTTCATTCCAGATAAAACTAAGCTCTTCCAAAATATCTATATGAATGATATATGAAGAGAAGAGATGGTAATGGAACACACGTTTTTGTCTTATTACATCAAGTATATGTATAAATATTGCTTCTTCTTGTGGCCAACCAAGTTGCATTAGCACGAGCATATGGCCATATGTCAAGTCAGTGTTATCACCTCTATTATAGAGGATCTGTATTAGTATTGTACAAAAGTAATGCATAATAGCAACTTTTGTGAGAGGTAGAAAATGTAGGTGCCTATGTTTCCCTCCTATAATTAATTCAGGTTCTAACACACCTTCCACATTGGGTAACTGGGCTAAAGCCGTGAGTATATTCTCAATACAAGCTGCATGTTTCTTCTGGAAATAATTAATGGATACTCTGATTATGCTAGCTGTTATACTTGAAGTGCTAGCTGGTGGCATGGCCTCTTCATATTTGCCCCGATACAGAGCAAATTCCTCAGCAAATCCTTCAGACCATGGCCTTATTTGCAACTGACTTGCTAATTTTGTAAATTCTCTAGAAATAAGTTCATTGCTATGTAATAATTCCCAACAGTTGGCTGCAGTTTGAAAATGGTGAGCTGATATGCCAGTAACTTCTACATCTCCCTTTCTTCTTTTTGATGGTGGCATTTCTGGATCTGACAGTGCTTCTACTAAAATGTGATTCCCTTTTAGAGATTTTTGTTCATAGAGAGCTCTCAAAAAAAAAGTTGTACCACAATATAATAGTTGCCTACAATCTTCACTGTTTCTCAGTGTCATAAACTTTTGAAAGTACTGCTCTTTGTTGAGGCTGTTACTGTAGTTAACGAAAAATGGATCCCATCCCAACTGTCGTCCCATTAAATCTAAGACTCCATACAGACGCTGCCAGGGATCAGTGATATCATGTTCAGTTTCATCGTAGACATAGGAGTTATAGAAATCTATTGCTTTAATAACCAGACGTTGCAAGAGTCTTGGTGATTCCAAAGAGCTGAGGAGTGGTAATGTTTCTACAACCAAAAGGCGAGCATATCGATTATCATAAAAGAACTTCTCTGCACTTATTAAAGTTTTGACCAAACTGTCAACACCTAACTGAGGGAATTTCTTTAGAAGCAATACTAATAGCCGACAGTGCTCCATGGTATCATCACTGTTTTCAACACTTGTCTTAAGTATTGTCAGTTGAATATCAGGACAAATATTATCAAACATTTGACTTAAAAAGCTACCCTCAGGGGATCTGAGAGCATTGGCAATGGCTGATATTTCTGGCAATAGAGAAGAAAAATTCTGTCTCGACTTAATAAGTGAGCTAAAACATTCAGCAGCCTCTTGAACATTGCCAGATTGCTTTTCCATTAAATAAGCTTCGAACTGAATTTTGAAATTTGTAGGAAATAAAGTCTTCGCTGTTAACATCCATGCTTTGGCTGAGTGAATATTTGTTTTTTGAGCATCTTTGGCCTTTTCTATAATATAGTCCTCATCACTTAATGACATATCAAAGCCAGGCATATTATAAGTTTTCACTGCTAAAATATTTTAAGGTCACAGATGTGGAAAATATATTAAAGGTGTATGTTAAGAAATAAATATTAAGTAAGAAATATTTTTCAATCGGTATTATAACTTCAACTTTTGGTTAATGGCTTTGTGGTAGAGTGTAACCACAATTTCGCCAATGTCATAAATCGGTATTATAAACAGTTTACGCTGTCACATTGCATCTCAGTAGAGATGGGTCTAAAATTAATAAGCTGCTAATTTTTTTTTAGTGTCAACACCTGTTAGGTAAATAAATTCTGAGATAGTTGCTAAATTTAGCAGTCACAACTCACAAACACTAATGAACAATAAAGTAATGAAAAGTACCTTTTAAGATACCAAAATTAGTAAAAATTGTGCAGCTGTGTACGTTCTTTTTTCGCTTTATTATCTTAGACCGCAGTAAACTCGACTACCGGCACCATTCATACCGAACTTTCTAAGAAATTCGTTCTTTTGTTTACAAATTGGGGTTGCTTGCACGTGTAGACTGTTAATCACACCCGACAGTCACAGTTAACAATATTAACGTATTTACAAAAATCACTACTTCTAAGTTGACACGAAACAAGTGATTCGGTTACTTGCCGCGTTCTATTCGAGTTGATTAATTTAACTGCTACATTCGGAAAAGTTAAATTTAACTAGTGATCTTCGTTAAAGACTGAGCTTCATTACGAAGTTTTACGGCTAAATAATATATGTTATTAGTAATTAGTGTTGTGAGTGAAAATTTTAATTGTTTGACTGTGTAGTGTTATTTAAGTTTGAAAAAGAATAAGTACTTTCAAATTGCAATAAAAAAGTCAAATGAATATTCAACGGCAAAAAAAAAGTGAAATATGGTTTTTTTTTACGGTAGCGATACCGTAAAAAAAGGCTGTACCGCAATCTCCAACTGCACGAGCAATAATAGAAATCGACAAATATTTAAATGAAAAAGTGATTAGTCGCAGTAATTTACCGTTGAGCTAGTGGAAGCAGAACCAAGGCATTTTTCCACATTTGGTTAAGTTGGTTCGAACTGCACGAGCACCAACTGCACCAACTGCACTGCATAATTATGATTAGTCTTGTGCGTAATCGGACATCTGCAGGTTCGCACTGTACTAGTACAATTCGTACAACGTACTAGCGCACCGTAATAGTACTATTAGTACAAGTTTAGTAGAAGTAGAAAACTTAAGCGTTTGTATTGATATTACCAACATTAATAAAACGGAATACCAATATTTAAATAAATTAAAATACGTAATTAAAAAAAAGTTATAGCTTTTTTAAATATATATGGCTTTGTATTAGGCAGTTACTTTTCTTCAGTATAGAAATAATTACACAGTTCTTGATTATTTTTAATGTGTTATCCCTTTCTGAATCCCATAGACCCTAACAGTTTGACTTTTAAATGCGATTTTTTAGATTACTTTACACTAAATTTTTAAGCATACTATTTAATTTTCCTTCATACTTTACAACCCAACGCATCGTAGTACACCTGTATCGCTGTCCCTTTTACTCTCACACTGTTTACCAATACGGAACAATAAAGCGGAGCATTAATAGTACTTCGCACAGCAAACGAACGTAGACACTAGTAGACAGAGTAAATAATAGGTTGTTTTAGTATTGGCTTGAAGTTGACACTGTGTACTAATAGTGCAAAATGTCCGATTAACAGCTGCCTTTCGGAAACATCACTTTTAGTACAATACCCAGTACTAGTACCTATCAGTACATCGTACGTGTACTACCCAAGACTATTATTCATCTCAACTCAATCAATAACTTTTTGGGCTAATTAAAGGGTGATATTATAATAGTAAAAGTTTTTCTTTTGAGGCAGTTTTGGTACTTTTGGTCACAGAAAGAAAACTAATAGACTATACGGTTTTTACTGGTCTGTATGACATTTTATACTGCGATTATTACCTGTCACTGGTTAGTTTGATGTAATCAAAGGTGTTGTCGTTAGATGTGGCTTAATAATGTATATTTGATGCGGTCAACGAAATCTGTTAAAATCTTTTAATATAATGTGATTTCAGATGTATATTAGGGATATAAAAATGAATGAACTTGCCATATATGACGACTATGCAATAGCAGAAGAGATTCCTGATCTCATTTTAGAAGCAATATTTTCGTATCTTAGCCTTAAAGATCTCCGCAATTGTGCTTTGGTGTGTAAAAAATGGTACAGAATACTTAGTGACGAAAATAATGATGTATGGCGAGTACATTGTGTTAAAAGATTGGTTGAAGAAGTTACGAAGTCTGATTTATTGTCTACTGTTACCACATATAAATCGAAATTAAGAGCTTTTTTTCATGCGTGGAACCCACACGACTGTTCACGTAATATGTATGTTAAACCCAATGGTTTTACTTTACACAGGTAATTTTAAATACATTGTTCTTAACACATGCTTAACATAAACAATCCGACATTTTATATACACATATATATTTATAAATTATAGAAATCCTGTGGCACAAAGCACTGATGCGTGTAGGGGCAAAGTTGGATTTTACTATGGAAGGCATGCTTGGGAAGTAATATGGGAAGGCCCTTTAGGTACTGTAGCTGTAGTTGGTATATCAACCAAAGATGCCCCATTACAGTGTCAAGGTTATGTTGGATTGCTAGGGTCAGATGAACAGAGCTGGGGCTGGAACTTAGTTGACAATCATCTATTGCATAATGGCGATTCACAAGGACATTATCCATTGCTTAATAATTGTCCAAAATATCAGGTAAGATTTCTTTCTAAATATTTACATCTGTATTGCATTGCTTAAAATTCGTTTTCTATTTCTAATCACCCCTCTTTTTTTCATATTTGCATGGTTTGAATCTCAGTCCTACCTCAAAACAATTGTGTAATTACAACTTTATCCCCTTTGTTTATTTGGAAAAATAGAAAGAATATCCGAAGGTTGGCTGTGTCCACATGTGTCCACTTCATATCATGAGTAAAAAGTAAATTATTAAATATAAATAATTATTAACTTTTGTGCATTTTTAGAGCCAATTTTATGAGTCAAGTGCTCACATATAAAAAATGTAAAATAAAATACCTAATAAAATTTAACAACTATAATATTTCAGGTTGGTGAGCGGATAAGGGTGATTCTAGATTGTGAAGATAATACCTTGGCCTTTGAAAGAAATTATGAATTTTTAGGAGTTGCATTCAGAGGTAATTATTTTGTTTATTTACGTGGGTACTTATTCTAATGTAAATTCAGTATACAATTAGTTGTAAGGTAATATAAATAAGGTACTTTTATTGACTTACATAGAACATAAAAGATAACTGATATGTTAATGTAAATACATACATGTTATGAATAATGTGTATGTATTTAGAAAAAAAAAGTATGAGTATTTTATCAGTCAATCTAACTTTCATAGTAGTATAAGCTCTGCTTAGTTTGAAACACAGATTTACTCCTAATGGATATGACATTATTGAATATTTGTTCTCCAAATTTGGCAGAATGCTAAGGTTACAGAGGATGTGTCAAATGTGCTTTGATTGGATATTTCAAGGTAAAGTTTAGATCATCAAATAAAATTAATTTTATTTTATTTGATGATCTGAATTTTGATAAATAATTATATTGATCAATGATTATTTGATATTTATTAAAAAAATTAAACAATGGATATATATTTTTACATTTAACTTTTACATATATATTTCACTAATGTTCAAAATTGATAAGCTTAGTATAAATACTTCTCACAGAATTCTTAGGACCTGTCTTCAATGTCTTGCAACAACCTTCTACAGTTTTTTAGGATATGAAGATTGTCTTCTGTAGTGTCTTGAGCATGTCACCCTATTTTCGGTTGGAAACCAATATCAATATCATCAATATCACATCAGTTTTTTTTTCGAGGTATTTAGGAAACCTACAACATATACCACAATGACTGATGACTTCAATAAAAAAAACAAACAATGGCCAAACAAATATAGACTTATAAATCACAACACTAACAATATACATGTGTTATTAGACAAAGACAACTGAAATTGACTGACGTGAAATTGTGATTTTCATGATGCATGCAAGAAACATTTTAAATAGACAATATTGGGTGCTTAATTGTTATTACTTTGCACTATTATGTTACCAGAATAAGTTGAACCCAGATTCAATTGAAAAAGTTAAAGTGTTAAGACTAGAATTCACTTACTGATGAAATGTTATGCCATTATTTTCATAACTGGATGTCTCAGCTGACTTGGCAAGTCAGCTGAGACACTTCACACACATTTCACTGCACAGGACACCATTTCTAATATATTTTGGATACATAACTATTTTTAAATTGGCAAGGACTCGGACTTGCCTTCATCATCATCAACGGCCTTTACTAGTCCACTACTGGACATAGGCTTCTCCTTAGAAAGGAGGTTTTGGCTTACGGGTTACAAACTTGGTTTTTACGGATGTCGTGATTCTTGTCGTCATTTATGAATCACGACAAGACATTGCAAGTGCGGATTAAGAATACAGAGTGTCACCACCCCTGTTCATCCCGTGGGTGTCGCAAGAGCCGACCAAGGGAAAAAACTACGCAGAACTACAGCACTGCAGAGAGAAGGAAAACTTGACACAAACCCTATACCAACCCGTCTGGCCAGCGTGGTATAGTAGGCCAAAACCTCCTTTCTAAGGAGAGGCTTATGTCCAGCAGTGGACTGTTAAAGGCTGTTGATGTGATGATGCGGAATCTATTAGGGGGTAATCTGGGGTTTGAAACTCGATGGCGTTGTGTGTGAGTTCTTGGAAATATTTACATTTATTTATTGATATTGTTATGAGTCTGAAATTCGTAAAATAAAAGTAGGCGGTTAATTACCAAAATTAGCAATGTATTTATACAATCACTTTTACAAACAAAAACTTAACTAAATAATTCCTTGGTCGATATTATACACGGTGATTTTGAAAGCGTTTTGGAAAAGAAAATTTTGAGTTATTTATCAGTAACAGAAGCTATATATAACGTTAATTTAATAAAATATATTTTTTTTTATCATCAAAGTCGATATTCATATCGTTTACAGAGAAAAAGTCAGAACCAGTAGTAGTAGGCTATTCAATCACACGTAGGTAAATACTACGAATAGAAATACTATGCGTTTTAATATCGAGTCACATCAAATCGTATTCGCCAATAAAAACAAAGCTACCGAGTTGCGCCGGAGTCGTCCAACCAATGACGTCTGCCCCGTAGGCGCATGCGCGGGGCTCACCTGTCATCGTCAGTCGGTCAGTAATACCATAACATCGTGACGGCACGCTGCATTGATTAGCGCTAAAATGAGTCGACAGTACGAATTTTCAAACGTGGAATACTTCTTGGCAATGGTACAGCTGTACGCTACTGCCAACTACAACTTGGAAGAGGCTCGGCGTTTGTATTCCCAAGCCGGAGCATTTAAATGCACTACGGCTACGTGGAATTGAAAGCCCTCAAATTCCCTCCACACCTACCATCTTGGCTGCAACCCAACGTATTCTCGACCACGGACAATTTCGTGCGCCTACTCATGCGCAAGGTCAAGGACGTTTTAATTATTATTCGCCGGAGTGTAGTGCGTGCATACCTGGACAATGAGCTTAGTGATCGGACTTAACGCCCCTGGATTTTTTCTTATGGTCGGAAATAAAAAGACTTGTTAATACACGGGAATATGAAAGCCGTGATAATTTACGCATTGCGATAGTGGACGCTTTAAAGTGAAAAGTGATAGAGACACATTAAGAAAATTAAAAAACAATTGCATTAAACGTGGACGTTTGTGTATTGAATGCAGCGGACTCCATTTTAAGCAGTTCCTTCGATACAGAGAACTGTAAATAGTGTAAATAGGTATGTAAGTTAATTATTCTGTAGATAGCTCCGATTTTTTAAATACGCCTGAAATATTTATACCTACAGTCCGTTGATAAATTGATTTGTTGTGAAAAGAACAATCGTGGTTAATAATCGAAAAGAAGTTTAAATAAAATAGGTATTTCTGACGGTCCTAAGCCCGTGTTATGAAGGACAAATTGGAGTCTATCTACGTAAGTACTCGCTAGCTCGCGCCTATAGGTATAGTTTTGTCAGCTGCTGTTAGCGTCGGCGGTGCGCAGCGGCCGCCGAAACGCCCACGGACGTGTTTCATTCATATAAGATAATGAATGAACGATCAGTCCATTACTACTTTCCAAGTCGATCGAGTAAAAATGAATATTAAAACTGAAACTTTTTTTTAGACAACATTACAATTGATTTAATCAGTTTTATTGGTACTATTGATGATTCCAAATTCAAATATTTCGTTTCCAAAACGCTTTCAAAATCACCGTGAATATCGCTTCGATGTTAATCCGCTGTCTCATAAAACTATACGCGCCCGTAAGGCCAACACGCTCCGCTTTTATAGATCTATCGAAATAACTAGAATACTCCCTAGGAGCGTTCCAGGCCGTCCCTCGTACATTAAAAGGAATCTACCGAGTTCTATCAGCTGTAATCTTCCAATATTCGAGACTTCATGGCTCAGCATGTATTGGAACTATGAATCAATATTTCAACGCGTAGTATTTTGCCTGTGCCTTACTTGATACAAGGTGGCGCTGTCCTCGGGATTCCATACGACTGGATTGTCCTCTATAAGAACCATTTAGTCCTGTGGCGCAACAACATTTATATGGTTCAGATGCAATTTTTATCGACTAACTACCAATAAGAATAACTTCACTTTTTCATACTTAATTGTAAATTTGTTGGCAATTATTTCAGGAGTACGACAGCTACATTCTAGTTGTGATTTCAGAGAAATGGTACCAATTTTGCAAATTCCTACCTCCTAAATGCTATGATAAGTTACTGCTCGTTTGTTTGTGTGTTTGTTGTTCTAGCTACTTTTTACGTTGTTTTTAAACCACATATGATTTTTCTTTACGGACTCTTCCGATATTTTGTTAATTAAAGAAAAGGTAAATAATCGTGTAAATGAAAAAACGACGGGAGAGAAATAGTAATAATTTATATAATACATATCTATCTACCCAAAACATAACTTGAATTTTTTCAACTTTTTTAACTTTACACACGTCGAATTTATAATATGAAATAAAATAAATAGTCGGATGTATGTAAAATAAAATCTCCCAATCAATTATCAAACCTTTTTAAATCCCTATTATTTTTCAGTATTAAGTTTTGAAACACAGAGCACAGTGAAACAAATTTTTATTATTTACTGGTATACAATAGAGTTAAATAAATAAAACTTTTTCTAAATTCACGTCACTTACAAATCCCTACATAATGCATCCAACGACTCGGGGATTCTCCCAAAGCGAATGAAGTTTACGCTCACCCGCTGCATTCCGAAATAATTCTTATACTTTATGTAAAAAAATATCTAGCACTTATGTCCAAATTTATAAGTTTTGAAACACACAGCACTGTAAAACTTTTTAAATGAAATTCATTCACGGTCGTAAAAATCACAAATCGCAATTACAGATCAAGCATTTTAAAACATGTTTTTAATACAATACGTAAAGCTTCCATATTATTAGTTCTACTACACGATAGTAGATATTTTTGTTCTATTCTGTTATTTCAACTGACAACATGCGTCATCAACATTATCTATTGTCTTTGAGGATTCTATTTTCAGATTAAATTTTCACTGTCTGAAACATTTGCAATTTCTTTTGTGCGCGCGGCGCCCCTAGGCAGTTGCCTCTCTGCCAAATGGCCGGACCTGGGTGACCGCTTAAATCACTTTGTGGAGTCCAAAACAATCCTAATAATGTTTCTAATTCAATATTTTCTCGTTCCAGGTCTGCCAAATAAAAAAAAACTTTATCCAACAGTGTCTGCTGTGTATGGTAACACTGAAGTCTCGATGGTGTATCTGGGGCCACCTGTGGATGGCTGATGGTCAATTTACATCTCTAGAACATTTTCAATTTCTAGTCAAGTGGCGATATGTGATAAAATGATTAATTTGAGGCTATTATTATTTCTATTGCATAATGGCCACACAAATTACAGTGTTCACGGAGTACTTATGTATTAAGTCATGTATGATTATAAAAAAAATAAGAATATGACGATTTGGTTTACTTACTGGCTTTTTGTTCAATTGTTTGCTCTTAGCATCAATAGGTATTATGTGTTGTTTTATATTCATAAACATATCTATTTATGATATGTCTCACATTAAAGCATTATAATATTTGTTTCTTAGTAATTACCTACATATATCAGATTCCTACATATTTTTAGTATGTAGTTAACCAGCATTTACATATATCAGTAGTAACTTATAAGTTTATACAATACGATAATAAATTTGATTTGCAAATGATGCACTCTTGTTTTTCAGTATATCTTGTTCATTGATACATGTATCCTTTATATTCCACTGCTAAAACAATTAAATAAATATATGACTAATCACACAAAAGTAAAACTATAAAAATACATATATAATACAAAATATATAAACGTTTTAGTTTTAGCTGAGTTTATACTTCATAAGGGCCCTATTTCTAATGGTTCTATATCTTGACTCATTCAATAGATAAAGCAAACTTTAAAATAAAACATTTCCGAGAGACAGTCATCAGTAGTGAACTCAGTTATTTTTCGCACGATGACTCGTTTAAGACAGATAGATGAAGCTATTAATGAAGTAAGTATAAATATATATATATATATATGTGAAGTATAAATTTTGGCTCCTAATGTGTTCATTAGGAGCCAAAATTTACCTATAATATATTAGAAGACTATTAATTTACTTGTTATTTAATTGTGTGACATCTCAATGGTATAAAAAACCTATAAGATAATAATAATTGCTGAATGGTTTTAAAAATAAAATAGGCCTAGGAATACTATACTATATTAGGTGCCTTCGACATAGTGTGTACTTAAATACTTTGTTATCTGGGCGACAAAACTAAAAAGTCAATAAGAAATTTAATAAAAGTAGGCATAAGCCAAAATTTGTCGTTAACTTAATACTGTTCTGAATGACCACTACAAAGACAGACAGAACTTCTTTAATTTAATGCAGCGTAATCATCGTTAATAATTTACAAAAGGTGAAAGAAACAGTATTAATGATGAGTACCCTTCCTTTCCTTATTGCCTATTCCTATCCAACGAATGTTAAAGTAGCAGCTGAACGACAATAATATTAATATACTTACCTACCAACCTATATTTTAATTTAAATTAACATTTAAAATAGTAGTTGCCCTAAATATAGGTTGACATTTTTGATTCTGTAGTGCAAAGAAAAAAAAATTGAATCCTCAATGTGTAAGGCGTTTCAGATTGGAAAAGCTTTCACAGAACACAATACCAGGTATGCGTTGCCCCAGCAAAATAATGTCTAAAATAATAATTTAAATGTTATAGATAATTAGTTGCCCCCGCTTCTGTAATTGTTACGCACATTTTTAAATTTGTTTAACTTAGTTTTTAAGTTATTTCAAAAAATCATTATCTGCTTTGGAAATTTTTGTAACGTTACCGCAGCCAGAAATTTCCTTTTTTAATTGGAATATTGAAATAAATAAAAAAATATTATTTAAATAAATAAATCTAGACGAGGTAAACCTTACATCTTTTTATATATTTGATACCTTCTTCGGCTGCGAAGTTATTCGAGATCCTGCTGCAGTAACGTTTGTGGGTTTGCTTGATCTCTGAAACGGTAAGTGGATTCTAACCAGCTTTTGTACAATACTTCTTAAGAAATAGTTTTGAAGACTTACTTTAAACGTTATTTTATAGCTTGTAACTGCCTTCAAATGTATGTGAAGTTTCGTTAGGATACTGTACGCGCAATACTGTACTCTGGGCTGTCGGCGCTGTTCTGCCTAGCCTCGAAGCTTGGGTAGGTAGGGAAGGAGGCCAAGTCACCTACCGACTGCCGCAGGTACTTAATGGGCATGGCTGCTTCGGTGAGTAGGTACCTGAATCGGATTGGATGCGAGGAGACGGCACAATGCCAGCACTGCGCAGACGACTGGAACTCCGCCCAGTACACGCTGGATGACTACCCCGCGTGGGCGTCTGAACGCGAAGTCCTGGTCGACAAAGTCGGACGAGCCCTGTCCCCGCCAGCAATTATTGCTGCCATGCTGGCGGGTGAGGAGGGCTGGGGGCGTAGTGGTTTCTTTCTGTGAAGCTGTAATGCTTCAGAAAGAGACCGCTGAACGGGTTCGGGAGAAGGCCGATCCCGAGCGTAGAGGACGTAGTCGGGAATACCAGCCGTTGGCGGGGCCGCTGGCTGCCAGAGGTAGGTCGCAAATTACCTGCTGCGGTAGGCGATAGAATGGCGGCCTGGTCGCAAAAATGCGATCGCAACATATTATAACGATTGGGCCGATATGCGGGGGAAGCCCCAGCTTCGCCGGGATAGGACTTAACTGGGCGCGGCGTCGATCCGGGGAGGACCTGAAATAATATGGTCCGGGTCCTCCTTGGAGTAAGGCGCCTGAGTCCGGCCGTCGAGGTGGTTTTTAGTGGAAACACCTCATACTCTTGGCTCCTACATCCCCAAGGAGCCGGAGATCCGATGGGATTTTCCACCCCCTCAACAAAAACTAAATAAATAAATAGGATACCGTAAGTAAAGTATTGACGGGAGGTGGATTTTCGACGAGCACTTCCGACAGCCAGCCTAGGGCGACTTTTGCCCAATTTGGGTGGAGCCTGCGTCGCGATAAGACGGCTGTACACTGGGGTTTTCCAGTCAATGGCACTGTACGGTGCACCGGTGTGGGCGGCGGCTCTGACCGCCCAGAATAGGGCACGCCTCTGGCACCCTCAGAGGATATTGGCGGTTACCGCACCGTATTGACGGAGGCGGCGTGCGCGTTGGCCGGAACTCCCCCGTGCGATTTGGCGACGGAAGTGCTCGCCGAAGTATATCAGCGGACGGCTGAGTTCCGGGCGGATAACGGCTTTCGGCCCCATCCCGAAGAGATACGCGAGTGGCGTGAAGCCGCTCGCCGAGACACGATGGCTCGTTGGTCGTCCCGGCTGGAGCGTCTCCATGGTGGCAAAGCCAGCACGTTGGGCCTCCAGCCGGGTAATCGTCGAGTGGGCAGGGCGGCAGTACGGGTATGGTATTCATGTTGAGGCCGAGGTTTTGCTAGCTGGCTGAGACTTGATTATTGCTCATCGCTATGGGAGTGTACACGATGGTGGCGAAGGTGCTGCTGCTGATCTTCTTTGAAGGCTGCTTCCAATCACGTCGAGGTCATGGTGACCTGGCCTGGTGGAGGGTCCTCCCTTTGGGTTGGAGGGACATGACACCCGTTCCTCCACAAGCGACAAAATTCGGAAGGAAACGGATCTTTGCTAGTTGAACATTAAAAAAAAGCATAAAATAAAAGAGTTTAAAAAAAATGTTTTCGGCGAAATTTCGACGATTTTTATAAAAATCTTAAAAGTCCAATATCTTGAAAATGGTTATTTTTGGGATATGGTATTTCATAGTGAAATCTATCAGAAATGATAGCAACTACTACCCCTTAAAGTATTTAGGTCGACTTACCCAGTAACCCTGTATAGTCCAGTCATTATAGTAAGTTCACCTCGGAATGCGAGATACCCAGCTGTAAGTCTGTAAATACTTGTATATTGACACCCTAAAAGTTGTCTCAAAACCTACATTATGGTAGGGTGTAAGCAACTATTAAATTTCAAGGTCAAAAGTCACAAAAATCGGTTTATTGCGCTTTTTTTGGAAATATCTCATTTCCTATGGGTTTCTGCTATTTGTATTTATTATCAATATTGTAGAATACAAAGTTCTCTACAAATTTTGTTTAAAAAAATTTTTTATACGGTGAACCGTTTTCGAGATAGAGGGCGGAGAGCGCGCGGTCACAGCATCACTTCAGGTCAACCGGTGCCTCCGGTCGAAAACGCGCCATATACAGTTGATGAACTATCGATAAATCAATGATTATAAATATTTGTCAATTTTTATTAACTATTATATTATATTTTAAAATTTTTTTCCTAACTTATCCACTTTTTATTCAGTATTAATTTATTTAACAACACTTACCTGCCCATGTAATTGCAGAATTGTTAATAAAAATATAGGAATTATATTTGAATTTTAACCTAATTAATATTAATAACTTCTTACATGATAAAAAAAAAACAAATAAATTATGAATTAATCTTTTTATTTAAAAATATCATTGAATACATTTATTATTATTGAAAGTAAAAAAAATGGAATAAAGGTTACAAAAACTACAATTTATAATTTTAATCATCTTCTTCCTCTTCATCGTCGTCTTCTGGCTGCTTCTGATTTTGATTCTGATTTTGAAATTTCAAACTGGTCTTCATTATCGTCTTCAACGACATTTGTCTCAAGTTTTTCCATGATTTCGGGGTCAAAGGTTCCATCTTCGTTAATGTCGTTCTGATATGGTAGAGCATTGAGACAAGCTTGCCCATTACATTGGCCACAAGCTAAAGAGCATTGCAAGCCCGCTTTCCTGCATCCGCATCGCGAACCACAACCACTCTTGCAGTTGCAGAAAATTGTATTTAGCAAATCTTCTGGAGCAGGTGGTAAAATTGTCATGATAGGCTCCAGAAAATCGTTTCGCATTGTCCAACCCCATACCTGGGGTTCCAAATCATGTCCTAACCAAGTTTAAACTTGATAATATACACGGTTGAAATGTTGATGAGCAGCTGCACTTGTTGGTGGAATATTTGAAAGCTGCACAGGTTTATTAAGTTTTGTAGACTATACGTAATGCATATAACAAAGATGATCGAGACTTTTCACAGATTTCGGAGCATTATAGACTGCCAATAAGGTTTGAGTTCCTCTCTAATAATCTCTGGGCCGAACAATTTTTATTTATAATCATTGATTTATCG